AAACAATGCAGGCTTACTCAGCAAGTCAATACCAATACAATAATGCCTTAGGATAGACTGCCCCCAGGAGGCCACAGTGAAATCTCTTTCATGGGATACAACCCTCACTCACCCAGCATGCATGAACTCAGCCAACACTATACTTCAGTTACCACAGTCTGCAAAAGCTGCTCCCCACCAGAGCTCCTCCTTACAGCTGCAATATTTTTTAAAAATCCCAAATCAAAACCACCTCATGAGCATTTAATGTGTCCTGCTACAAACTTTTACTGACAATAATCACAGAATTACAGATGGCTTGGGTTAGAAGGATTAAAGATCATCTAGTTCCAAACCCCCTGTCATGGGCAGGGACACCTCCCACTAGACCAGGTTGCTCAGAGCCCATCCAGCCCATCAATTGCAACAGATGCCTCAAGAGCAAGAAGACTGTTTGTGTTAGACAGTGAGCTCACTACAGAAAATTCTACATTACAAACATACTTCTTAAGAGATAAGCAGAAGTAAGGCTCCACAATGTCCTACCTAGGACAAAAGATGAACAAGAGTAATCCATCATCTTCCCAAACATTAGAAAAATACAGAGAAGAGAATACAAAACAATTAACTTTCTAGGTCTACAATGTGCTTCAACTAAACCCCAGAGCATGCAAATCACACTACCTATGAACTTTGAACTGAATCAAACTCAAAGCCAACAGAAGAGCAATTTTAGGTTTCCTACCTTGGCAGTGAAAAGGCAGGTCATAGAAATTAGTAAATACTACAGTACACAACTTTCTTTTAGCAAGGATATCCTCTCTGAAGCAGGAACTCAGTTGAGTAAAAACTCAAAGCAATCATTATGGGTGAGTCAGAAAGAGGGTTGCTCTGTAAGAGGACTGCATGCTGAATTAAATGACAGCTGCAAAAGCAGCCACCTTCAAAACCTGCCTTGATGGTCTCTTTAGAAATTCTGTTGTGGTAGTGAAAGGCCATGTACAAACCAGTGAGATGGGGTGGGGCAGGAGAAAAGATGTGGAATAAAACACAGAGTAAGTTAAAGACCAGATTTGCACTGCAGCCTTCTTTAAATGCTCCCAAGACTAGGTGGATGAGGTGAAGCTTCAATGCATGCCTAAAAAAAATGTAGGAAGAGGACTGCAGATTCTTTAGAAACTGCAGTATCATGGAGTAGTGGGAATCCATAAAATACTCTATTCTTAGAGAGAATAAAAAGGCAAAAAGATGCTGGTATTTAAGAGATTTTAGGAGAGTTTTAAGCAACATAGAAGGTGAGGAAACATCAGATGGATAAGAGCACATTCTCTCACTTCCATTAGGAATGGAAACACAGAAACTATACCTAATATGATAGTGCACAAGTTTTCAAAATTCAATTGAGTAATCATCGTAAGTCAGACAAGTGCAGTCTGACTCACAAACACCCATATTCAAAAAACCCTAAACATTTATACACAGCTTGGCATAAATGCCAGCAGCACAAGATGTAAAGCCCAAATGTCTGCTTTTAATCAAAGACAGTGACAAAACAGACATACCAGAAATATGATGGAAGTAAGATAAAAAAGATATTGATACAAAATGTATAGAAGAGTCATAGAAATAGATATCAATATATAAAATCATCCAACCAAACACAGATTGAATTTCCAAACCTAGCAAGGTAAACTCTGTTATTAGATTATATTGGTACTCACACCATTAAGGTGGATATGTATAGCCACAGCTATGATATCTGAGACGTCTAAGGCCAGCAATGTAACTGTGATGACAGACAGCAGTCATGAGTATGTTGGATAAATGTCACACTGCAGAGGCCAAGATCACTTTTTTAATATATTCTTGTTTGTGCAACTGATCAGGGCCATCTCAACTCTGGCTGTGGTCACCCCAACTGTACACAGCCTGACCCAAAATGCTACTTTCAAATAGCGATTTTTCTTAATGGTGACTTTTATTTCTGCATTTATTTCCCTTTTATTTCTATTGACCAAGGTCATTAAAAAAGACAGAAGTCCACTACCGCAGACTTCCATAAAAAGAAGCAACATAAAATAAGAAAATATTAAAATTAAGCCAAAAAGACGAGTCAAAATTAAGATGCAGCCCAGTGACAACACTAAGATTGAATGTACTGAACTTCAGTACAACAATTTTAAATACACACATCAAATTAAACTTATTTTTGTGGAAAGGGGGAATCCTAGCATGTAAACATCAACCTTTGTAAAACCAGCAGTTTTGCTTTAGGAGTCAAATGGAATCAGTCACTGAATGTAACATTTACAGCCAGACAGGGTGCAGAGGAACAATCTGCAAAAGTGCTTTGGCATCTCAGGAACAGGAACTGTGCCTGAAGGCGGCAAGTAGATGATCAAAGTAAAAAGCAAAGTGTTCAGGGAAGAAAAACCCATTGAGGAAGAAAATCCCCAGACTCTAAACAAATCCCTATGGTCAGTTTTTGGTACCTTGCAGGAACTCAAGGAGAACTTCTATAGGCACCTCGTTGAAGGTTTTACTCCTTCCTTTACAATGGGAGAGGTTACAGAGGAAAGAGTGACAAAGGGGAAAGATGGGGCTTTCACTCCCCAATTCTAAAAGAAACCAAGTAACTGCAGTGTGAAACTTCTGAGTGAAACCTGCCTCAAGTGACCGGAAGCTGTAAACATTACAGCAAGTTCTTGTGATTTTAGTGGGTAGAAGGAATCACTTGTTTTTTAAGTAGAGATTCCTGAGGGATCCAGGGAATTAAAGCCTAAACATATTTTTTTGTACACAGCAAAGTGCCACAAATTGTTCTAAAGCCAAAAAAGCAACAGGATAAACATACAGAGTTGCTTTTGCAAAGGAAAGTCATGTTTGATAAACACTTTAAGAGTTCTTCTAAAGAAGAACTTAAAAGAGATGAGAGTATGGACATCTAATAATGGTGCATACTTGAAATTCTAAAAGGCATCTGACACATTCTCTTGCCAAAAACTATTAAAGATGCTGTGCTGCCAAAAGAAGTTGTCCTATCAGTACATTGTTTAAAGATAGAAGACAAAGGGTATGAATCAGCAGATGTTCTCCCCTAAGGATGTGCAGTGCCAATGAAACACCACAGTTCTCCTGTTGGGGCAGGCGAAGTACAACCTATTTCTAAGGGTTCTGAGACAGCAGTTTCTGAATGCCACAGTGTATTCCAGTAACACTAAGTTAGTCAAAGTAATAAATGGATAAAGGAATTAAGAAACTGCAGAACCATTTCACTGAGGAAACAGGTGCTAAAACTAGCAAACCAAACTCACTGTAGATATTTGAGAACAATTCATGCTGAAAAAAAAAAAAAAATTCTGACTTTTGTACATATATATTGAAATGAACTCCAAATTGACCATTAATTATTTGGGACTGAGTTATTGTTCTGAAAATATAAGTGTAAAGGTTAGGAAAAAGCAAAACGCCAAAGCATCATTTTTGGAAACAATATAAACAAAACATAAAACAATTTAATTTTTTAAAATAAAACTGAGTGAGTTCTGCAAGAAGTTCTACCTGGTGCTCCTTCCTTGAGAAACTGGAAGAGTAAAGCAAAGTTCAACAAAGACAATTTAAGATACAAAAGAGCTCTCCAGCAACAAGCAATTAAAAGAAATGTGAGTCTTCAGTACGAAACAAAAACAACTAAGGCAGACAGGATAAGATAGAGGTCTACAAATTTAAAAGCAAAACAGAGAGAGCACCAGAGGGCTGTTTTTAATGCCTGCAGGCCTCAACCAGAGCTACCCACTGGTGGGTTCAAATATCTCAGTCACAAACTGCTGGAGGTACTAGAGTCTTCTAAGGAGACACACACCTTATCTGTTACCTACCCTGCGCATCCCCTCCTTCCCCTAAGACACCACACCAGGCCAGACAGAACCAGGATTATGTTAACCACTTTTCTGTTCTAATTTACCACTTCAAAGAAAAGGGGGCAAAAGCTTTTTAGAAGTATGATTTAAAGCTAGCAACACTTCAGTCTGGCCCTACGGCAACAGCAATAATAAAAACATAGTATGTACCAGAACTTTTTAAAGAAATTACTCTGTGACATGCTGAGATTCTTCTGACAGCATTATTTCAGGTTTTAATTGCAAATGTAAACTAAAAATTCCATTGCTAATAACTTATTTAACAGCTCCCTGACCCAAAAAAACCAAACTGACAAAACAACAACAACAACAACAAAAAAAAAAAAGGGTAATAATAATTTGGGTCTGAACTTAGTAAAAGAGAATTATTTCTCATTTCTTAGGTTTAGCCTTTGCTCAAGACAGGTCACACAGGGTTTTTTTATAAAATACCAAGGATGGGTAAGGGCAGCAGCCAAGTCACTGACATATTCTACTTGACTAGTGAAAATGTACCAGCTGTCCTTCCTCACCTTCAGTGCCTTTGGAAAAAAAATCACATTATCTCTGGCCAACTCCTTCTATCAAGGAAAAAGATAATTAGCAATTATATTATTGATACAAAGACACATATGACACATAACAGCGATAACAGGAAGATAAGGACTCCCAAGTGAGTAGCACAATGAACTGTAAAATCTCCTGATCAGACAAGTACTCCTTGTATTATTTCTCAATACATACCTGCAAGAAGCTTGAACATGCACTGTTGTCTGGCACAAAGACAAATTTTCTCAGCTGCACAAATGAAGAAAATCTTAAACTTTAAAGACTCAGTTATCATCAGTGAGATCTCTTCTTTCTGTATTGTGGTGTGTGCCAAGATGGAAAGTAATTTCAAAAGCTGAATCAACATCTGGATCATGATGCAATGAACACCAGAGCTAAGAAGTGAAGGTCCTGAACCACATTCATAGTTTTCTTCAGAGATAATAAAAACATCAATTATCAAAAATTATTTGAGCTCAACAGAAAAGCCTGAGGTCAAACATTTGGTAAGTTTTCAGCAAGACAGGAACACTCAGAATCATTTACAGCACAATAATTACTCTGCTTCAAAAGTTGCTTTGAATAAAATAAATGGCTATTTTATTGACTATACATACATATGAGAGAGCATCAACTTAACAGCTGAACTGAGTGTTCATGAAGATACAGAGCAAAACACAAAACACCTTGATTTTGTGCTCTAGAAGTGATACATGTTCTAAACATCTACTGAGTCCTTGCAAAGTGTCTTACAGAGCAAGGTCTGCAGCCATAGTGTTCAGCAGTGCATGTGCAGCCCAAGCTGAGACTATGAGAGGATTAGTAGCTCCAGTGCTGCAGCAATCCTTCAACAGGAACATGCAAGAGCCCCAGGATTGAGTGAGTGCTGTACATACATTCAGGAATGGAACAGAGTAGGCTTTGTCTTTATAAAAACACATTGCATATAATTAAAGCTTCTAAAGGCAGCTCAGGTATGCTGAAGATCTAGAAGTTCCTAGCTTTGTAGTGTTAGGTACAAACAAACAAAGCTCGAAGGAAACTCCTTGCTACTTTGTAGGGACTAAATGATAAGAATGCAAAACTATGCAGTTCACAATCTTTGCCCTACTTTGCCCTACTTGAAAAACTTGATGTAGTCATACCTGCCACCCAATAAACATGTCTCTGCACTTTATTATCCTTTCTGTAACATGATAATTCAAATAAAATCTCATCCTACCCCAAATTAGCAAGCAGGACTTTATAAAAATACAGTGCTTTAAAAACATATCAGCACATTATTAAAGCTATCACCGTATCAAAACCAGATCTTTTTCAAATTGTTTCATACACAGACTTTGTAATACCAAACAGACTCTTTCAGGCAGCTAAACACATATGTTGCACTTCACTGCTGCTGAATTTCTCCTCTGAATAAATAAGACCAAGTCAATTATGTACATCAATCATCAAACGATTTCCAACCCTCTCCCTTTATTTAGTATATATTTATATATTACCATCATGACATTAAAGCAGTCATTTATTCAAGGTAGTACTTAGGTCATAAGCTGCAAGCCTCCATCTACAACCAGAACACTCCCTGTAACATATGAGGATTCTAGAAGAAAGGCAACAGCTTGTGCAACTTCATGAGGCTCTCCAAATCTTCCAAGGAGAATTGCTTTCTTCAACTGATCTTCTTCCAAATGAGCTGTCATCTCTGTGTGAATGAAGCCTAAGAGCAGAGAGATATATGAAGAGTTACCTAACCTTTGACTAAATTTATCTAGTGGATTTCCCACTGAATCTTACAAAGTGAAGTCTATTACCAAGATTTAGCACCAGCTACCATTCTTCAAAGTCTCTCAAAGCAGCCCACATTACCTGATGGCCACAACCACTTTTTTACCTAACCAATAAAATATCTTTCATTTTTGGAAGGAGTGATGCAATAATTAAAATGCAGAGATCTATAGAAGTCCATTAAAAAAAAAACCCCAAACCCAAACAACCAAACAAGAAAGGGTAAGTGAAATTCAATCAAAAAACTTTATTTAGTATCATTTTTCTGAAACACAAAATGTACTTATTTCACCAAAATGTTCTCAATTAAAATATGAGCACAAAATATCTGGCATAAACCCTCTCAGATTTTAAAGTGTTTGCATTCCGTTTTAGAACTGATGTCACTGCTTGCATAGATTCTATTAGAGCACTCATTTGAAGAATATTTATTGATATTTTTGAAGGAACTTTTCTAAAATTTTCCATTATCTGAGATTTGGCTTTCCCACTGCTGCACAACTCTACACACAAGCTGCAGCTTTATAAGGAGCTGATCTTACCTGCTTTCTAGCTGCCATCAAGAAGGGAAAGCTTCCCTTTTGCTTTCTACTGTAATACTCTGCCCCTTTATGATGGCTGTGGATGAGCTGCTCAACTCACTAAAGAATAAAAGTATTCTTCCTGCCTAGTTCACAAGCTGAACAGTTTCATGTAGAATTCTGAAAGGCATCAGAGGTAGTAGAAGGTGAGCAGCAGTGTACACAGTTATTGGTGGAAAATTCAGAAAATACAGAAGGGATTTTTCCTTAAGGGTGGCAGTGTGCTTGAACTAGATCATCTTATGAAATCACAGCCTTTACTCACAGAAATAGCTTTGAGGACTCCCTCATTTTACTACAGGGAGCCAGGGGTGCTTTTATGACAGCTTTCTCATGGTCTGTCATGTTTCCCTAATAACAAACAAGCATTCTCTAGCTAGAGACAAGGGTAGCTCCGTGTCTCTCATTAGATCTACTCCTTCCATCTCCAAGGACAGCAAGTTTTGAAGGAGGCCAAAAGGAAGAACAAAAATACATTTACTATGCAATAATTGATAGAGGACTAGGTAGACTCACTCTTCCAAATTTCTCAAGTGTTCCCTTAAAAAGACTGAAGGTTTTCTAAAAGAATGTACTACGCATTAAACAAACAAACAAGAGATATTAAAAATATTTACTTACAAACTGAAGAAAATAATAGAAATTAGTCTTAAGTTACTTTCAGAGTACAAGAAATATCCACAGTCTTAATGAATTGCAACAAGTCAAGGATGCAGGCATTCCTCAAAAACTAACCTGGAGCAACAACGTTGACTCGAATTTGCTTTTTTGCTACTTCTTTAGCAAGAGAGCGTGAAAATCCAACTAATCCTGCTTTGGTAGCACTATACACACTTTGACCAGAGTTGCCTTTAAGTCCTACAACACTCCCTAAAATACAGAAACATCAAAGAGAGGATTAAATGGGTTAACTTGAAACACTGTACTAGCTTTATCATTTTAGTTTTAAACCTGGAATGAAAAATGAGATCACAAGAAAAGAGTAAAATATGCATGACTTTATGCACTTTAGCCTGCTAGGATAAGCAAATCTCCCAACTAGCTGTGATTTTTGTACAATTCGTGTATCTATGCTGACCAACAGGCACCAGGAGAGTAAAATGAACTCTTTTCTAAAAAAAAGTATCTTTGCCCAGATTAAATAAATCTGGGCAAGGATAAAAAGAAAGAAAGACACTGACTGAACCTATCAATTCTTAGCTAATTTGACAGCAGCTGGTATATGTAGATATTGAAAGAACTGGTTAAGAATAGCAAAGTTTCTTTTTTCAGTAAAATATAAACCCAGAGGTGTTTATTACTGAAAAAAAGCTATCTAGAAGTTGCTGAAATTACACAAAAAATAAGCATTCATAAAGAAATGTTAAATATAGAATGTCTAAATACAAGGAAAAGGAAAACAAGTAAATGGTAACACACAATGTAATATGTTACACCTGCTAAACATTTCTAGAAGACTAGTACACAGAACGCCACTGGCTTACAGAAGCAACTTACCTATATTGACAATAGCACCTCCCTGCTGTTGAATCATGACCTTTACAGCAGCCTTGCATGTCAACATTGTTCCCAAAAGGTTAGTGTGAATCTGGGCTATCATATCTTCAGTCTTGGTTCTCAGTAGCAAACCATCCCTGACAAACAAACCAAAAAAACCCTAAGAATTTACTAAACACCCCCCTGATCATGTTTACTCATAAAAAATGACTGTTGGACAGAATATTTTTAATGGGGGTGTATGTGGTTCCAAACATTCAAGCATCCAAAATGGCAATACTGCAAGAACCACACATAGCAAAAAACAAATTAGCCATGCTTCTGGACACAGCCTCCTTTGCAGAGTGGTATCAAACACTGTTTTGGACCATTCTGGGGGAAAAAAAATGGAAGAAAGAATAGAGGGGGAAGTCAAACTCAGAATGCAGAAACTACAGTGAAAGCTGTATCATCTGTTAGCGGTTTACTGCCATCAGGAACAAAATATTGGCAAGCACTTAATATTGTTTTCAGATGTGCTCATTAACAGCACCCTTACTAAGCACAAAGGCCAGAGCACCTCACAGAGAGCTGCCTTCATCTAGAATTACCTTTACTCTTGTAAGGAGTAACCAACCTGTTGATCCCAGCTGCATTAACCAAGTAGTTAATAGGACCCAAATTCCTCTGCATCTCCTCAAAAGTTTTTTGGACTTCTTGTTCACTGGATACATCACAGCTAAGTGCCAGATGTCCTGCTGTATTGAAATGTATATAAAATCACAATAAAAGCTGTATTTAATTCATAAACCTTCTTCAGAATGTATCAACACAGTTGCAAAACGGATGTTGAACTAGTTATAATTTAAGGAACCTATTTAATCCCCAGGCAATTAAATAAAGACTATTTTCAAGTATTGTATTCGATAGTTATGTGATAATTCGTTGGTTTATATTTTCTGCCTTTTGAAGTCAGAAGTTCAGCATGAGCAGACTGGTCACAGTTCTGGCTTGTTCAGGAGCTGAGGATGACTCAATTCACACCACCTCTATTGTGATCCCAAACAATTCCATTCATCTTAAAATTCCAACCATGCAGATAAAAAAAGGTAATCTACTTTTTCAACTATTGCAAAAACACAATCGTACCAATATAGCTGTTTTTAAATATTTCTCAGCCTTTATTTTCCTTTCCATCTAGTTAAACAAGGAGGGGTTTTTAACGACTCGGTGTTTTCACAAGTCACCCTAGCACGGAGCAGTGAGGAGATAGGTGCACAGCAGCATACGTACCACCAAGGCTACGGGCAGTGCTCTGGGCCACGTCCAGATTCCTAGCAACGATGGCCAGGCGGCAGCCCTTCTGCGCCAGGAGCTCTGCCACAGCTTTGCCTATCCCACGGGATCCTCCAAAAACAGCACAGACCTTGCCCATCTTCAAAATAATTCATAAATTGCAAATAAACCATCAACTTCATGTCCAGTAGAGCAAGACATTAACTGCTGTTCTTGTCAACATCATAGCCTTTACCTGTTTGTAGCAGTTTGTACCAGCGGGTTACAAAATTAATGATTTGGGTTTTATTCATTCATTTGTACTCATTTTTTATTAAAAATAAACAGCTGAACTAAATTAGACACCACTTCTACAATTGAAAGTTAATTCTTAAATATTTCTGAACCAATAAAAAAAATTAAAATCACGCACATAATCTAGCATCCCAATAGTAGAGTCACGGTAACTCTTACTCAATTGATGAATTATTTGATTTATGTACCTAAAGGCCATAATGTATTGTTCAGCTGCTCATTCAAAGCTGATGCACTGGTTGTAATTATATTGTTCTTGCAACCACTATTACTGTGCTGAAGTAATTTCGCCTCAAGGTCTCACTCCATCCAAAGTATCTGTGCTGGACACTGCAGTGCAAATGTTACTGAGTATGATTGGAAACTACTGTATTTGCACTGGTTTAATACTGTCAGACTGTGTTTTACCACTAGCCTGGGGTTTTTTGTTTCTGCTTTTGAGGGAAGAAAAAAAGCTTTATAAAATAGGAAATTATTCTGAAGTAGCTAGCTTTGATGTTTAGAATGGAGTACACAAAGGAAGTACTTCTGTAGAATGATCTTTTATCCCGCAAGCTCTAGAAATCGGCTGTTTTGGGATTTCCTGAGGAGACAGAGACAGAATCTAAGCAATAACAATGAACCCTTTTTCCATACATTTGAATAAGTCCTTTTTGAACCCAATTATACTGCCTTCATCCCGAGGCAACGAGTTTTATTATTTGTGGGTAAGTACTTCCTTTTGCTCTTAATTTGCTTTCTGATTAGATAATTCTATGCATTTCTTCTCACACCTTCCCCTCACTGTTTCACTCTCCACCTGTATCCTCTTTCAGGTCGATTCAGTTAGTCCTACACATATGGAAGCTATTCAATACCTCACTAAAGAGTGTCCGAGACCTTACCGAGGTCTATTAAACCCTTCTGGATGAATGCCAATCACAAAAGCGCATGGTACTAAGCGCACCAGGCCACGACCAACTCCTACAGCGGCACGATAACTTTGGTCTCCTGCGACACTCCCAACGAGCACAAACTCTGTCCTTTCCCCCGAGTATTCACACCTGCCTGAAACCAACCTTCCCTGCCAAGTTCTCCGAGCAGACACAACCCCCCGTGCATCAGCCAGGCATTCACAAGCGGGCCGAACCCCGGGCCCCCACGGCGCTCGGCTGCCAGCACAAGGAGGGCAATTTAAACAAGGGCGAGCCGGAGCCGTGCCCGAGCTCCTTCCCTCCCCAGCCCGAGCTCCCGGGGCGGGCGCAGGCGGAGCCCTCAGCGCGGGCAGCGGGAAGCGCGGAGCGGCCGCGGGGACGCGCACGGACAGCGCGGAGCGGCCGCCGCTCCCGCGGCGGCCGCTCCGCGCTGTCCGTGCGCGTCCCCGCGGCCGCTCCGCGTTGTCTGTGGGCGTCCCCGCGGCCGCTCCGCGTTGTCTGTGCGCGTCCCCGCGGCCGCTCCGCGCTGTCCGTGCGCGTCCCCCCGCCCCGGGCACAGGAGCAGAACGCGCTCCGGTACCTCCGGCTCGCTGCCGCCACGGAGCGCGCTTCCCCCGCGGGCAGGCCGGTGCCGCAGCGCAGGCGTCACGGCGAGACGTCACCGCCAGGGGGCGGGCCCGGCGGAGCTCGGCCCTGCGCTCGCACGGCCGGCCCTGCGCTTGTCGCCCTGAGCGAAAGCGGGCTTCGTGTATAGGTACAAACAATTGGATGCATCGGGGTTTTGTTCCTCTCATTTTCATGTATCCTTGCCCCAAAATCCCAAGGATCTCGTGTGAGGCATCGCTGTACCAGAAGAGTTGAGTTCTAATCGCGCTAAGGTGCATAAGCCCAAAATACAGAAGCATCTGTGGGAGCTCCTGTTCAGGAGCCAAAGCAAACTTCATGATATGCAATTAAACTAACATTGAAATCTATTCAGTTATAACAGTAATGCTTCAGTTTACAGTTATGCCCGATGATGTGCTGAAGGGGTTTCTCTGTACTCTTAAGTCACACACACTGAGTAAATTTTACCCCCTAAGGAATACTAATCAAACCTATGACAATTTTGTACACAAGTACACTTCAGATGGATTTGAGAAAATTTGTTGTTGTTATTATTAATTATTATTACTTCCCACAGAGTAATATGCTGAAATCCTGGAGTTTCTATGAGCAAGCATACAGTTCTTGCTTTTGACTTGAAAGGTGTTTTTCAGAATTTCAGATTATGCATGTTTCTGGGGAGAAAAGCATTTAACATTGGTTCTATGCCTGTGGGATTCTTCTTCCACAGATTATTATTTACACATAGAAAAAGCAGATTTAGGCATTGGCTAACAGGTGAACGTCTGTAAGAAAAATAAAATTTTGAAGAAAAGCTATTATGAGAATTAGTTTCTTTTAGCAAGCATATTTAGATGCAAGCGGCTCTTTTCAAAAGAACTAATGAGATTTTGTGATAAAATGACATTTCAGATCATGCCATATTCTGAAAGCTTGGAGGTCCCAGTGATAAATCAGAAAAGGCACTGACAGATGAGACTGTGACTCAGAATAGTCTCTAACCAAACCTTCTGGTACCTAGCATAATTAGGGACCAGGATAGCTTTTTCTTCAAGTGAAGCTTATAAAGAAAAGTAACACAATGCAAAAAAAATGGTCCTTAGTGATGTTTTCTGAAGATGTGTATACTACAGAGAAAATAAAACCTGCCTGCTGCTGTCCTTATACAGTATGATGCTCATAGTTAAGTGAAAAAAAAATATAAGTAATTATGACTTTACCTTATTTCTGACCTGTGTCCTTGTCCATACAGCTGACCTACCCTTCTAAGAAAGATAAAGAAAGACTAATCTGTCCTGTACTGTTACTATTTTGCTGACGCGGAGTAAGCATGAGCTTAGTGTGGGGGTTTTAAAGTGTGTTGCAGTTGACAAAGTTAAATATTATTTTCAAAAGTTTAGACAAGATTCTGTTTAATTCCTGTTCATTAATTTAATGTTTAAAACCAGATGTATATTCAGTGACCAAAGTGACATTAGCCTTTTTTTTTTCCAGATGCCTGGTTAAATTATGAGATCAGATTAAGCAGAGTTCATCTGAGCCAGATTATTCACACTGATTTCCCATTTAAGCTAGTGGAGTGAAAGAGACAGATCAGTGTCATAATTATTACCTCCCCTTCTGGGGGAACAGTAGCTGATACAAGAACTTGATCTGATAGACCTGTTCCATCTATCATGACCAGATCTGTAACAGCTAGTTCAATACTGGTCATTATTATGCCTGGCCTACTGTTAATGTGAAAATATAGGCTAATAATTCTTGTATGTCTGTCTGTGTGACCATGTATACACACACTTGGAACCTGTCCACAATATACAAAATTATGCAGCTGTCTTTCCTAAAGCCTAAAGCATTCAGGCATTAAAAATACTCTTCCTAAGAGAGTTATTTATTCCTTTCTTAAAATTTTTAGTCATTCTCCCACCCAACTGAGAAACTACTTTCAAGAATTTCTCTTATTAACATGGGAAAAACCAGAATGGTCTCAAACAGGAAAGGATATTTGATGTATCTGAAAGCACAAAACGCAAATCAGAGCAAAATAGAACAAAACAGGCCACTGTAACTGAGGTCCCCTCTATCAGGTATTTCAAATTCCTCCTGGGTTTTGATTTAAGGCAAGATATACAGAGGATCTTGAGTCTAATCATTAACCACAGTGGTGCCTGAATCTGTGGCCTCTTATATTTCTGCCAAGAGTCACACATGAAAGAGCAATGCTGCTCTAATGCCCAGCAGCATTTTCATACTGCTCCCTGTACTGCTTGTGAAAGTGTACCTCCCACATTACATGGGTTTTGTGTCAGGCCTGGGACAAAGCAGCTGGAGGACTGGCTGTATATGTGCTCAGTCCTGTTGGAAACAAACACTTGCTGGTTGGAGCACTTGGCTCTGAGAAAAACTGCTTTCAAGTCTCCTCTCTTACTGGAAACATGATCGCTAACTTCAGTTTTTCACCACCGAACAAGCTCGTCATAGCCATCAGTCTGAAGTGGTTTCAGTTTATAGGAACAGAACAAAAAATTAAAGTGGGCCAAGAAGATTTGACACTCGAGCCAGATGATCACTGTCCGGAAATGTAAAACCTCGGGGATTAAGCATCAATTGAAATCAACATTCAAGAAACTATTTTGCTTTTGAACTGGCGTATTAAAGATGACCTCCCTGGTTTAAGCAAATCTGATGATGGGGGCATGTATCTGGGATACAGGAGTCATGGGCTTAGAACAGAATTAAGCCAGGGAAGAGCTTTTCAAGATGTTTCCTTCTTTCCAGGTCAAATGATAACTCAGTGGCAGGTCACACAGTCAACACACTGCCATGCATTTCTTCCAGTAAAAAAAGGGGGTGTAACTGGACTAGGTGCCTCATTTTAGGTGAGCTCTCAGGGCTCCTCATTTTCCCAACTTTGCCTGGACAGCTCAGCACTGAGGTGGCTGTCTCTTTTTGTTCCCCTTTCTTCAGGAATGCATTTGTCATTTACCTTGGGAAAAATCCAGTCTAGTCACTAATTTTGTACTTATATATATATGCTATATACACACATAAAAATATATATAAATAAAGAACTAACAAGTTTTATGTTGCAATTCCCAAATGTCTTTGATGTGGCCCTAGCCTTCAAGGCAAGTGACACAAAGCCGAGATAAACTGCTGAGGAAAAATCCAACTGCCTTATTGTATGACAGACACAAAACACCCCTCTCCTCCCAGTATTTTGCTACTTGGCAGACTTTACTCAACCACAGCAGTTCAGATATTTAAGTGGTCAAATTGTCACACCTTTGCTCTTAAGTGATCTTTTCTTATGACATTGCAGTCTGTTTTGTTTTCCTAGACCATACAAAATCTCTGCAATGTTTGTTCTTGTGTGATAACAGTGAACTTTTATCATGCCAACATGAAATGGTTTTATACAGTTTAGGTATCTTTTCAAAAAATTGAAAACTTCTTCCTCTTAAGGAATTTCTTTCTGGTACCTCTTTGAAAAGTATAAAAGCTCTGTGAAAACTCTAAAAACAAAACACAGCACCAAAACCCAGAACAAAACAAAGCTATCAGAACCTTGGCAAATTACCTAAAGTTTTCGTATCCTCCTGGCTAAACAGGTTTTGCCGCTACGGCCAGGATTATCTGACCCGTCAGCGTGAGGCCCATGTTTGAGTTAGCACGGTCACTGAACTGCTGCTGCTCCCAGTGAGCAGTCAGGCACACCGTGGAGGGAACAGAGAGGAGCCTGTATTATTGCTGCTTCATCTGCTGCTAAAATGGAACACCTCACTTCCAGTGCTGCCCTGAGGCACCCGGCACGTTAAAATAAAACAACCCCAACATCGTCCATCCCTGCAAAACTCTATTTGTCACACACTCGGCCTCCGTCCACAATTCCTGTCTGATCACAGACACTGGACACTCCTAGTGTGTATCAGTGGGCTTTGGACTAAAGAGATGGAATCTAGGATCTCAGCATGTCCTGAAATCTCGTACTTCCCTCCATGCATCCCACTCCTTACGTATACCACAGAATGTATCCGTTTTTAGCTCCTAAGTCCCAAGCCACGACTAGGAACAAGGAAGAAATAACAGCTCAGCCATCGAGGGAGTAAACTCACCACTTCCGACAGACAGTTTTCCAAAACTACAAAGTGCATCACACAGATGAGTCACTATCTCCCAGCAAGGGAAAGAGTCAAAGCTGATACCACCACGGAATGACATGTCACTCCCAGCAGTCTCCACTGACCATTTTGTATAGAAAGGATGGTATTTTTTGCGTATTGCATATTTTATAAACCTTAAGGATATCACTGAAAGTCTTGTGCAATAACATCCAAGAGTTTTGCAGAAGTATTTGAATACTCCAGAGTAAATAACTCTCCTCTTCTTCTCTTAGAGGCAATTTACTTTTAATTATACCTACTATACTCAAAATGAACTAGTTTTGGGAAGAGCACTTAAAAATAGCTAAAAACCATTTATAAACATCTACTCAAGGTCTTGCATAATTTTATTTTATATATGTACATCCTTAACTTCACCATTTTACTTTTCATAGTCTCATCCATATTCCCATTCACTACACATTTATATATGCTGTAAAGTAAGATTCATAACAAATAATTTCAAGAATTAATTTGTCTTGTAAAAATCTGTTTAACTAATACTACAATTGCTGGCAAAAAAAAAAAAATAGTATTTTTGAGAAGTATTCATCAGCACAAGTTTTCACTCCAGAACATACAAAAAACTGCTCTCAACATTAGGATTAACAGAAAACAGTTTTGTTTAACCAGGTACAATTTCCTTCCTGTTATGATGGCACAAGTGTCAAGGTTTGCCTACAATAATACATCACTAATCATAGTCTCAGGTGTTCAATCTCCACAATGGTACAGGCAAATATAAACTGTTGCCCACATTGGTCCTGTGATGCAGTCTCCTGAAAATTTACTACATCTACACATATGTACAGTCAGTAAACTTTTTGCTTTGTTGAGGAGTAGGAA